TTAACAATTCGCTCTTTCTTCCTTTTGGAACGTTTATCGTGTAACGTTGCGTAATGTATTTAAAGTCGGCATTTGCGTGTTGATTCACCTTTCACGATTATTGAATTTCTCGGTTAAGACAGGCGAAACAGCAAAATTCCATCAAGGCAGGAACTATTACGAACTCAAGCGAGGGACTGCACGTATTAACGAGAATTACGCAACCGCATCGAAATTAAAAGTCAACTAATTCGTAGTTACGCGCAAGCACGATTGTGGCGCTTCTTTTATCCACGTTTACATATTTACTGTACGATTTATGTAATTCTGAAAATGTCATGTCATTAACACACTCTTAAAATATGACTAGGTTTCCCCATTCATTTGACGGCTCTTTATTAACTATCAAGAGAAAAGGATAGTTTTCCGACAATGTATACCCCCCCCCCTCCCCCAAGCGACTCACACAAATTTTATTCTCACGATTCTCACATGGTTTAAATCATTATCTGGCACCTGAAATAAATAAATATTTAATAATATCAAATATCTAAAAATATCTAATAATAATATAAATTAAATGTCTAAAAAATAATTTTTAACTAGTCTGGAATAAAAAATAATAAATGTTACAGCTGACGAAATTGTCATACACGGTATACATAAATATTGTGTTCATATGTGAGCATAACATGGTATGTTAAATAGTGATACTACATTGATCAATAGATTAATATTGTAGCACAAAATTAAAGCAAACTTTAAAGTAATTTGAAATCAAACGATAAAAATCTCTTTAGGTTACCAGTAATAAATAACAAGACGTAAGATTTGGCCAACCTTCACGGGCTAATGTTTAATAAGAAAAAATATATAATGCAACGTTTCGATCTTAGAGTTTAGGTCCTTTTCAAACAAATTCTAAAAGGAACATCCGATAATCGGGATCAATACAAATCAATTAACGAATACGGAACAAATTACAAATAATCTCAATGTATAATATTTAATACAGTAATAAAAAATGTAAAAATGAGATTAAAATTAATTAATAAAATATAAGATATGGTTTGTCAGAGCGGATAAAATAATATAAAAGGTTGGAAACAAATTAAAGACCAGTCAATTACCTTAATGATCCAGACAATGCAATAAGAAGTCATTTGATAAAAGTCAGGAAGAAAGTGAGTCTACAAAGCCGGAGAATAACTGTCGAAAGTGTATCAAAATAAAAAACGTTTGGGTCAAACAACAAGATAGGAGAGGGAAATAAATAACCAACGATCACATCAAAGAATTAATAATAGAATCATATAAAAAGTTAAGGTTCTTGGTATCTTATTCTAAAATGATAGTGTTAGAAAATATGCAGCATTTCCGTAATTTTTATCTTTCTCGTGTCTTTTTCACAATGTAAAATATCTGAAGAAGACCAATTGAAGTAATGTCCGAGAGTTGTGCGATGTTTGCTGATGACAGAGTGATTGTTCCCATCTTTTTTTCATATTATTGAGATATTCTTTAACTCTAGTCTCTAGATGTCGTTTGGTCTGACCAACATAGGACGTGTTGCAGACTTTGCAATATATTCTGTAAACTATCCCAGTTTTTGGGAGACTATTCCCTCTCCTTTCTCGTTGTTTTGACCTAAACGTTTTTATTTTGTTACACTTTCGACAGTCTTCGGCCTTTGTAAACTGCGTACATATTTTAACTGTGTGCTCATTATTTTATAAATTATGACTCACTTTCTTCCTGACTTTTATCAAACGACTTTTTATTCCATTTGCTGGATCATTTGTTAAGGTAATTGACTGGCCTTTAATTTATTTTCAATTTTTTATATTATTTTATCCGCTCTGACAAACCATATCTTTTATTTTATTAATTAATTTTAATCTCTTTTTACATTTTTTATTACTGTATTAAATACATTGAGATTATTTGTAATTTGTTCCGTGTTCGTTAATTAATTCGTACTGATCCCGATTATCGGATGTCCTTTTAGAATTTGTCAACATACTTGTAACAATAAAATTAACAAGAAAAATGTTATTTTTACATTTTACAGATATAATAATTGAAACTTTTGTAGAATAAAAGCAACATTTTTATCTGTAAATTTTAACAGATAAACCGTGTCACTAATAACACGTACATATTTTATAAGATATTTATTATATAAAGTTAAAAATGAATTTACCGAGGGGGAAACCGCTGAGGGCATTGTGGTGTACAGATTTGCGGCATTACCGGGCATTACTAGGGCATTTTTGGGGCATTACGTCTTGCTGAGGCATTATAAAGATAAAATAAGATAAAATAAGATACAATAAGATAAAACAAGATAAATAAGAGGAAAGAAGATAATAAGATAAAGTAATGCCCACTGGGCATTAGTGGGCATTGGTGTACAAGATTTTGGTCAGCGGTTTCCCCCTCGGAATTTACATTGTGTTCTTTTTAGTTGTTTTAATAATTTAACACTTGAATTTAATTAACGCAACAGCAATATGTTAAATTAACACATAAATATTTAACACAAAAATTTTAACCGACATATTTTAACAAGAAAACATAAATTTTCAACTGTGTAAGTTTGCTCACGTAAACTGAAGTATTTTTTCCACCCAAATATCCTTCTACTTGAAAATGGCACGCACGAATTCTCGTGCCGTGTCTCGCCTCTGACGTCACGATTCAACAAGGCGAGCATCCAGGAGTCTTAAAAAGATATTAGATGTAAGCATGTAATGCCAAACGCGTGGGCCACTCAGCAAATTTTGCGAAATGCTAACGTAATTTTTGTACATTTTTTAGCGAGTCCCTGAATGCCAACGCAGTTCCGGTTCTGTGCGCGGAAGCGCATCTTACTCCCATATCAAGGTACTCATGCACCGCGAACCAAAACGCGAGCGAATTTTCAAGCATGGTTCGTCTCTTGACGAGATAAAAAATAGAAATTCACCCGGATGCAATCGGTTATATTATGGCGAGGAAGAAACGGCAAAAAAAAGGAGAAACGAGGGTAACGTTTACAAAGGGGCCGCTTACTGACCGCTTCCGTTCTCAATGCGTTCAATCCTCCTGTGATCCACATGTAACAAAGTTGTACATCATATGCATGCATATCTTTCAGAGACAGATATGAATTTTTTGCTATGATTCCTCTCCGTAATGTCATTCGTTCTCTCTGTGCTACTTGTGTTTTCTTTGTGAGGAAAACCTAAGTAGCACAGGTAATTGTTGTGAACTCAACAAGGATTAACTTTTTAAATTCTTTACAAATTAGCATAATCCGTTCAACATGAACTCCAAGAGAATGCTTTTCCAATATAAATTTTTATAGACTATAAGAATTTCTTATGGTATCCGGTTACTCAGAATTGGTGACATAAAAGCGAATTCTTTTTAAACTCTTAAGAATGCTTTTAGAACAAAAATGATAAAGAATTTATTTCGTAATCCGGGAATTGAAAAAGAATTCTTTTTTAATTTTTTGTGCTATCTGGGCAATTTAAGGAAACGTGTGCATCATTTGCTTGCACATAGAAAGAAACACGTTGTATATCTGTGCAAAAAGCTATAAAATTTGTGAATGTAGATATAATATTTTATTTTTTCCACCTATGAAGCTGTAAATCGCTAGAAATGTGCCAAATGAAAGTGAAAATAAATAAAAGGTGACAATGACTGCTCGTTCACTCGCCTTTCATGGCACTTCTTGGGAGTCAGAAAATGCCACGGCTCGTGAGATAAATACCGAGACTTTAATTGCCCTTGGCGCTACCAAAATAAGAATAAAATGTAAAATATAACTACGCAATATGATATATCAAAAAGGTGATGAAATTACTATTGATAAGATACAAAAATGTTTTCAGTCCAAAGATACGTAATTTTATCACAAGAATGAGAAGGTTATCGGTTTGTTATAACGAAGTTAATACATATAAAAATTCGTTTTCCTCCGAGTTTACGGGACGATTAAAATAATCTCAGCGCAGCTGAAATTCACGCGATAGTCTGCATATCTCACCGGGCCGGCGAAAAGAATAATCTAAAAAGTGAAATTAGGGAAAATAACTCCTGCATTTTGATGTACGATCGTTCGGCAAGGAGTGGATGCCCCTCGTGCAATTACCCCGGGCGTTTATGGAAAATCGCCGAGAAACCGTTAAAACGGCCACAAGTGGGATAAATGAGAGTAGTTTTACGCTAAGCGAGTCTAGATCAGGTGAAGTTGATTATTTCTCGTGATGAGGAGAAAGATCGTACAACGTATATTATGCACCGGATGCAGGACAGTTCGGGAAATACATAGAGATACATCTCGAACTCGCCAGTGGTAATAAATGGTGAAATTACTAAAAAGAGATCATTCCCCTGGATATTGATAGCATATAACTCCACTTGGCTCCTTTACGGGTAGAAAGCTGCGCGATGGTTCTACATTATTTACCATAATAAAAAATTGTAGGGGCCCAGTGGAAATATTTTACTAGAAATGTAATGAAATTTTGCTGCGATGTATTTGGAAATCTCCCTCAATTGACCCCGTTTCATAATCATTTGGATATTTCATTGAAAGGTAGCACAGTTTTTAACTGAGGTCAGTAAATTTCATAATATTTAATATTTCATAATTTTGCATTACTTGCCAACAATGTACTTTAATTTTCTTCATCCCGCACGCACGTTAATGGAATGTCATCTGGAACATTATGATTCATTTCGAAATTCCATAAATTTTATTAGGTTTTGAATAACTTTCCTTTCACTTTTCATCAGTGCCATAGTACATTCAACGAAATATTTCCGTCAGAGAAGTCGGTGGTTTTTAATCCACCAAGTTTCCAATGGACAAAAATTGTGGAGATATAAATGTATTCTATTCGAAATTAATATAAGTATGACAAACTACGGTTATAACTGTATATAACTGTATGTAGGTGTCGTGCAAATCTTTCTCTCTTGCTAATGCTATTTATTTGATCTATCCGCACTTATGACACTTGCAGGTAACGGTACGCCAGATGTTTACAAGATACTTGGAGGTACCAGGACGCGCCAACCAGACTACGATTATTCGTACGTGAATAGCGATATAAATGAAAATCAGGAGGATCTCTACGTCGGTCACGGCGGTGACCCGTGGAGCGCTTCCTCAACGCGTATTTACGAAAAGGATATCTACGTGCGCGTCGTATCATCGAACAACACGACGGTGAACAGCACGAAGTCCAAATCCGCGTAAGTCGGACGTAGCTACATGGTGGGAGCATTTTCTAATTTTCATCATTTATAATATCGGACCGGTATTACGTAAAGACTAAAATCTGCAATGTACCCAGTGAAAACAGTCTAGTCTAAATTATGTCAATGTGACGTCAAAATCGTTATTTGTTGTCATTGCATCAAGGAAATATTTGAACATGATGAAAAATTGACACTATCTGTATTGATGCTGTACGCGATAAAAGATCATATGGAAAGGTGAAAATAAATGTCTAGATAATAATTGTAATGTTATATAGGAAAAACTGAAACATATTATGTTGACTTCAAAATTACTACATTATGACGAGATAATATTTGACTTACTCAGTTATTTTCTCGAAAAGGATCTCCGGCGTTGTTTTGTAACATGTATTGCAATTTCTGTATATTTTAAACGATTGGAGTTCTCATAATCGCATTTAGTTTGCTATATAAATTATTTTTATATTTTAACATATAAGTTTCTTCGATATTTCTTTGACTTGTTACATATACATCCTTCATCTTGCGTTTGAACAATCTTTTTTCATCGAACAAGTATTTTACGATTTCTTTAAGGTTGTCATGTTAGATAACTCACCCTGGATATGTATACCTCTGTTACATTTTCAAAGTTTTATGGATGTCGGTAAAAGTATAAAATTTATAGTTTTTGGAAAAAAAAACATGGGCAAAAGTCTATTCCTTCAATTTATCTTTACTTCAATTTAATTATTACAGTATTACGGATTATTGTTATTTAATTGTTCAATTAAATATCCCATTGTTCATTTTATTAAGATGTTTTATTTGAAATTTCAGGTACTAAACTATTGAGCTTGCAAAAAAAAATGGTAATCTGTGCATGTGCAAAAGTCTCTTGCGTCTAACTTGAATAAACTATTTTATTTTTTAAAAATGGGTAAAATGCTAAAAAGTAGGAAATCACTTATCTGCTGTAAAAAAGCATAAACCACAAGTGAAGCAAAGAATATTTGTTATTTTTTCTATTTTAGCCAAATTCAAGCAATAGATTTTTGCTAGTGTACTTCTTTCAAAAATTATCAATTGGCTATTTAATGACATAATAGAACTTCGAAATTAAATTTAAAAGATGCGATACATGAGAGGTACGATCTTCAGAATATATTCTATGCATAAACACAAATTCTAAAAAATTTACAAACATCAGGGGAGAGGGCATTACACTACAGATCTACCCTAAAATTTTAGAACGAGTGGAAGGGCAACCGCGAGCCATACGAGAATCAAAAGAGGAGTGATACACCTTTACAACATGGTGGTGTGCGCAACGGGATGTAATCCTCTAGCTTACAAGGGATACGGCTGCTACTGCGGATTCTTAGGATCCGGTTACGTCATCGACGGTATCGATCAGTACGTTCTTCATCTACATGGAGACGAAACGTCATTTACAATTGAGTTTTCTTCTCATAGGAGACGAATATTGATGGAAGAAAATGTAATGTTCCAGGTGTTGCAAGATGCACGACTGGTGCTATGACGCTACGGAATGCCTCATGTTCTCAGAATACTTTGTACCATATTACTGGAGATGTTACCACGGTTACAAACCCGTTTGCGGTTCGTTTATTGATTATTTATCACCATTCGTTTATCATTTATCCATTTTTTATCCATCAGCAACGTGATTTCTTTTGCAAATTCGGAAGATTTAAATAACTTCGATACAACAGCACTTCTATGTATGAATCAAGCTCGACTTATTTATGTAGGCTATGTGTAAATAGCGTGAAACACAGTAAAATAAAATGGCCAGTGAAATCTTCGTTGCAGCGATCGAGCATGGCAGCTGGGGAGGATCGGGATCTTGCGCTCAACGTTTGTGCGAATGCGATCGTTCGTTGGCCGAGTGTCTGAGAAGATATCCTTGCCCTACTACCAAAGCAGTTTGTACCTCGTCACCGTGGAGACTCGTGCAGAATCTCTTCATGATTATATAAATCACGTACTTTAAAGAGAGCATAGGTCACGCGTTTTAAAACGCAACAAATTCGCTTTTTACTTTGTACGACTTCGAGATAAAACGTCTCATAATATCTTATTTATGAGTTGTACGTATCGTGTCAAAAGAGTCTAATTATCAAAGGCCGACAAATTCGGATACCAAAGAAAGTACAGATTTACTCCTACAAATTGTGCAATTTTACAAAAGGGTATGCGCTACGATCAACAACGGTTATCGTCACACTGTAGTGTCTCTTTCGTATTTCTTCCAATCATTATACTTATGCTGTATCAAGGAAATAGATGCTTAAGATGTACGTATAAGAGTAAGAAATTACCTTGTATATACACGATAGCAAAATTGTATTATCTTAGCATAGATATTATTTACATTTGACACAGTTCAACGATTTTTTTTTCTTTTCGAATGTTTGACAGCTACAACATATTTACACCTCCGCTTAAATATACCGTCCTATTCTTGTACTTCTTGGAAATATCTTGCTCTATCTGTAATTAGAGACAATGTAAAGAAAAACAGAATTTCTTACTCGAAAACGTAATATTACCAGAACAAAAATCGCATACCTCTGTTTGTAGTTCTTTAGTTCTTTGTATGACGAGTTTTAATAGAGGTCGCAACTTATCAATTTGATTCTGCGTGTCATCTTGCTTTTGTCGCACAGATTTTTGTTGAGTTACCATTCTATCGATCAGGTTTAACTTTTGCTTTAAAGTAACAGTTACTACGTCCACGTACCTGCGATAAAGATATACATAAACATTTGTAAAAAGATATATTACATTTAATTGCAAACTTCATACCTTGGATAATGTTTGATGTTATGTAAATGCTGGACATTGTTGTGCAATATCTCAGAGAGGATAACTTGAACGTTATCCAGCATGTTCTGAGTGGTCTCTATCGTAGAAAGTTGCAGAACAGACGAAGCGTCCTGCATCTGACTAAAGCTAAGAAGATTATCCCTATCGTCGCCTTTGAATTCGTACAGTCGTAGCTTCATAAATGCTTCCAGCTAAAATACATATTGAGGTAAAAATGTAGAACAATTAATTTCCTACACGCATATTTATACACACAAGTCTTTACCTCAAACAGCTGATTGATAAATTCGGATCTCGTTGTTGGATTGTCTAATATCATGTATGCCTCAGACCCCGTGGCCACTCCACCTTCGTGACCTGCTGCTTCCACAACTATACCCGATTCTTCCAAAGAAATATTATAATTTATTTCTCCCGCGGTAGGTTGCTCCAAATTTTCGTCACCCCAGTCAATATCGCCTCCTGTGTTCAAATCAACTTCTTCACCAAAATCAATCTCTCCATCCAGATCCAAGTCGCCGAAATCAATAGCCTGTTGAGAATATTCGGGATAATAACGCAATCGTATCTTACTGTAAATATGACGAAGAAATTATATAAAAATATGCGTACATTGGCGTCCATACCAGGCCCCCCATTACTTTCATCTTCATCCGCTTTAATATTCAATGGCGGCTCAATTATCGATACTGGCACTTCTCCATAAGTGTATTCGAACATCGTCGTGTTCCCCTTCTCTTTAAAAACCAAATAACAATCTATCAAACGGGCTTCTTATTCAAATGTCATAGTGCACTCTAGAAATAATTATTTTGTAAATGTACCTATGATATATTTAATCACCGACACGCAATCGTTGTCGTATTGCTGGCCAAAAGTAAATTCAACAAATGCGCTGTAAAACTCCACCACCTTGTCCAAACTCTTCGTTTTCTCCGCTACTCTCTGATAAATTTCCGGCAACTCTCTCACCTTGTCCATTAACTCGCGCCTGGCTGTACTGTATCCAGTTATGCCTAATTGTTTGCACAGCGCGCTGTACTCCGTATGCGCGATATTTTCCGACTTTTTATATTCCGTCTCTTTCTTTTCCAATTCCTGCCAACACAGTTTTATATTACCTTTACATAATGATAGGTTGATAATTGCACACATCATATCAAAAGCAATTTACAGTTAACGACTGTTCCAACTTCTGTATCTGCTTTTTAATACTGGGAACCTCGTAATTGACATTTCTCATGAGCATTTGCGCGGCTTCGGCAAGGTATATGTTGTCCTTTTCATACAGCCGCAAAATCTCCTGCCAGTCTTTCATCCTTTGCGAGCCATAACGTCCAAATAAATTTTTCGTATCCGCTTCCGTTTCTTTCAAGATTTCCACAATCTTCACGCAGTAAAAATAATTTATATCTGCAAAAAGTGGCAAGGTGAGCATTCGCGGAGCAGCTACATGCTAAAACTTAAATAGGACTATACCCAGATAGCCAAATCTGTCAGAACAGATTTTGTCAAATGCCTACTATAAATTTTGAAGGCATAAAGACTACAGATTGCATACAGAAACTGATATAGTCGACGCGTTGCCAGCATGTCAGCAGAAATACAACAAAATCTGCTCACATAACTGGTCCTGCTCGGTTTCTGCCAACAATCTGTTGATAGCATACGTGTTTTACAGACTCTGTTGCCGAAACAAAAGCCAAATGCGAACACAGATGACTATATGTAGTTTTGGCGTGGGTTTCTGATGAATCTACTGCCAATCTGATGCCAATCTAATAACATTTTGCTGACTGGGTGACGATTAATACTGCTTACAGGCGCCGGACAACAATGAGGCGATGCCATCGTGAGCAGGCATATCCTGTATCGCATTATTAATTTTCTGCCTGATGGTCAAAATGTTTGCGTGCCAATCCTTCTTGCAGTGCCTTCGATTAAGCAGCCAATCCAGTAACTTCCCGGCATTAATGTCGATCGGAATATCCTGTTCCTAGATAATCATTTGCGCTTATAAAGATCTCATTCAGTAACATACAACAATAAAAAGAAGGAGAGTTTGCTTGTTGTCGCCAGTAATGATTAAAAATCAAACTAATTTGTTAGTCATGTCTTAAGAACAATACAAGGTGATATTGCGAACTATACAGTTTCGATTACACAGTTATATGTTACATTTAAGTTTTTGGTGTCTGTAAATTTAGCGTGTTGTCGATCTTCCTGATAAAAAACATTTCGGCGATTTCTCTTTTTCTCCTGAGGCGCTCGCTATGTAAAATTCTTGGTTCCGACCAATTGAACTCGTGATCATGTGATGCACGGTATTTGTTGACCACGGAGTGGTCTTTTTTTATGTCATTTTTATGTTCTTTAATTCTGGTCAAAAGGTGTCGTTTAGTTTGTCCAAATGTAAGAGGCTTCTCACAGTCGTTGCAATTAAACTACATTATTTCATAACTGCGTTGTTGTTGACTTGCAGTATCACTCGAATGAAGTGAAAGGAAATAAAATGCCAGCCAATCTGCTAACATTTTGCTGACTGAGTATAGTTTTGATGTGGGTTTCTGATGAATCTGCTGCCAATTTGTTGACATTTTGCTGACTGGGACCAATATAAAATTAAAAATTATTCTAAGGAAGGCTTATAAAAAATCGAAACGTTTACTACTTAATTATTGAAGGTAATTATTAGAGAATAAAGAAGAAAATAATAGTGCTCGCTTAGTCGGCCCTTGTCCCCCTTTATCTTGCGTTGCTAATTTCCATTTAACTTTACTGAATATATCAGCAAGATATGTTTACTCCGGATTGCGTCACGCGTCAAATTGTGCGCGCACGATTTCGTGTCTACATTCAAAATTGACATCGTCGACGCGAAAATAATTTGCGTGCTCGAATAACGCGACCACTTGCCTGCATATTGTGCGGTTCGACGAATCTCTCTGCAAGAAATGGACCTGCTTCGTTATTGTCCGAGTTGGGAAACAGGTTATAACAGCTGTTGCCCTCGTACGACGTGTCAGTGTAGTAACAGTGACAGGCTCAACTGTCTAAAACACCGGCTGTCTCCTTGACAAGAGTGACACGCAAGTAATGACGATTTTAACACAATAGCACACTCTATTTAAATAACGTAGCACAGATGGGCAAAAAAATTTTTATAAGATATACAACCTTTTATTTTGGCAAACAAATAGAATAGGTTTATGAATAACGTTGGAAACCGAAAACAATTTATAGAGGAAAGTCCCCTATTATGAGATAGGCTCCTAATATGAACCAGCGAGATTTCTGTTAAATTAATAAGCCCCGTCTGTTGACTCCACCATGAATTTAATGCCCTTGGAGCAAAATCTGTTTAGTAGAATATTCATTGTTAGATCGTGTAATCGTTATGAGAAAAGATTTGTGATTGAATTTGAGTGTTGAAAACTTGCTATCTCATATTAGAAACCTATCTCGTAATAGGGTTTTCTCTATATGTATATTATACAAAGTACAAAAAATGCAAGGGACATTCTTTGGCTTATCATTTTATCAAGAAAATGTCCTGTGAACGCATGTGCGAAACTGCATTGCTTTCAAACTACGGGGTACTGCGAAAAAAAGTAAAAATTTCGAGAATCTAAGAAAACCCTTAAATATATTTTATTCAAATTTGGTTTACGTACATGTGGTATTTTAAGAATAATTTTCCAGTATCGTTAAAACATCTTTAGATCCGCCATGGGCGCGCGCATGGTAATCATATTAAATTTTTGAATGAAAGAATGCTGTCACACCGTTTTTTTTAATTCCGAACTAAACTCAAGAAAAACTGCTTACGTCTTTCGTTACGGTTAGCTGTTTTTAAGTCAAAAAATATACATGTATGTATATGCATACAAGGACGATAAGGATCGGGATCAAACCTTGGAACCTGCTGACTACGAGTCGATCGCCTACATAGAGCCACGCCTCAACCTGATAAACAATAAATAAATATACATAAGATATTAGAAATAACGACATTCACTATTTTTATATATTGTCATTTTATAGTAAGAATTATAGTCTTACAATTTGTATTATCACCCTCGAACAGCCCTTTAAAACCGACAATAATTCAGGTCTGTCGTGTATAAATACTGTCCTAGGGAAGTTTAAACTTTTTCACTCTCTTGTTCATATTAAAACGTGAGAACGATTTTCCAAATGATGTCATTAATAAGCCAAAACTAGCGTAGATGACGTCCGAATCGCTAAAATCATTTAAAAACACGATTGTCTTGTGCAGACAGAAAATTAAATGACCTAGTTTATTTTTACTTTCCATTTGCGTGTATGCTTATCAAATAATGCACACGCGACGGAAAGCCACGTGTGCGACACCTGCCACGTATGAAACGGGAACACGCGCTCTTATGTATAATTATCGTCTCTGCGTGATACCGCATGGCACTTCTTACATTCACAAGGAACCGATAAGTGACTTGGAATAAACAGAATCGCATTGAATCAAAGGAAAACAAGTGATCAATTGCGTTTATTTAAGTAACTTCTCTACCGGTACCTAAGATAAATAACGGAAGGCGCGACAAGTAACGAGAAGACGGGAATTAATCAGATCGCTCAGCGACACGAGTAGACGTGAATGTACACACGAGTATCTCTTTTAATTTATTATGTTACACGTTCACAGTAAGAAAAGAAACATAACATTCCCTTCAGTGTCCATTATACTGTCGCTGCAGCCAGTATAAGTACAACTTGAGAGTGTCCATCGGGAAGAAAAGGTGTAAGAGTTCCATCGCTTGCACTCGTCCTTCCGATCGCTCCGTGTTGTACCAGCACCCAGTGTATTTAAAATGTACTCAGCCTCGGCATAAATTAATACCCGCGAACGATACGCGTGTTCATGATGCGTGTCGAGGACCTGGATCTCACCTCGCGTTTTTCACCGGCTCTTTGGATCCTAATCGCGGAATCCTCTCGGCGAGCCTCTCTCGAGTGTCTCGGAGAAGACTTGGGGGTTCCGTCGCGAAAATATTACCGGCGGGCGTTATGATGGCACTTTGACCAGCGATGAAAAAACATCGTCACGAGGACGATTCGATCCGGTGACCGTGTATCTCAATCGCGAACGAGTTTTTTCTCTTTCATTACTTGGCTATCACACTAATAACTTTGGGAGGGGCTCCGATCCGTGAAGAAATTCTTCAAGATGAAAACCTGCCCTACGGCGATGAACAGGATGCAGACGGTCTCCATCACCGACCACCAAAGCACTCGCTCGTTGAGCTCCTCCGCGCGTTTGCGACCTTGAGCTTCGCGCAGACGGTGATGCGTCTGGTAGTCCAGGATACTGATTAGATTCTTGTGCACCTCCTGCGCGGAGGATTCCATCTGTGAAAGGAAGCCGTGTCAGACATCAGCCAATTATTTCATTTGTACATACTGCAAAAGGTTCCGTTGTGGCAATTCACCTGTGTCATGACTGTGACGTGTTCTCCGAGGCCGGGGAGTGGCAATTCGTCGCCAACTTGGAAATCCATATACACCAGCTTGTGCGAATACGTGGAGAACTCGTTGCTGAAGCAAGCCTTGTATATTCCCGACATAGTTGGTATGAAGGAGTGTGAGTCGAATTGAGTCTTTACTTGGCTATAGATAATTTCTTTGTTCGGGGCTTCTAAGGTGACGTCTACATCATACTGGCCACCTGTAACCACCTGGAAACCACAACAGGACACTCGTTACAAAACAAGTTACTCAAAAAGTTGCTTTTTCGACATGTGCTGCTTCATTACTTTGATTTGAAAAAAAAACTGCAGCTACAGCTCATAAATTACTTGTCGAAGCTTATGGCAATTGTGCTCCATCAGACAGAACATGCCAAGAATGGTTTCGGCGATTTAGAAGTGGTGATTTTTATGTGAATGATAAACAATGCTCAGGTCAACCGAAAAAGTTTGAAGACACCGAATTGCAAGCATTATTGGACGATAAGTATCACGGGGGATCGATATCAATTACAACTGAATCGTCTGAATAAAGCATTGTTGGAAAAAAGACCAGCAGTAGCCAGCAATCGATGCAAAGTTATTCTTTTGCACGACACGCTCGACCACACGTTGCAAAAGCCGTCAAGGAACCACTGATGCAGCTCGAGTGGGAAGTTCTCCTGCACCCAGCATATTCACCAGACCTGGCTCCTTGCAGATTATCATCCGTTCCGATCGATGCAGCACGGCTTGGTGGATACACACTTCAAAAATTACGAGGATGTGCGAAAATGGACCGATGAATGGATTGCATCAAAAGACCAATCGTTCTATCGTTGCGGAATCCACTCATTGCCAGAAAGATGGGAAAAATGGATAGCTAGCGAGGGCAAATGACTTTGATTGATGTATTTTTGGCTTTTGATATCAAACTGAGTTTGTTAAACAAAAAACACCGCGGAAACTAAGTTTACCACCCAATACATCGTCGAGTGATTGATTCCTGGCTACGTCTTTGAAACATGGATAACAATGCACATTATACGGTTAATGGTTCTTCTACTTGCTTTGCGAACAGTTCAGTTTTATTTTTCAAAGACCGATCAAATTGATTTGTATTTATTCAAAAATATTCTTTAAGTTTAATCTCATCTTCGCGTAAATCTTGAACCAAGTGATGAAACTCGCCGAACTTTGTTCCTTTTACGTATACGCTGTGTGCCCACTTTTACATACTTTCTTTTACATTTATGCAATGAAAGTAATAACATAACTTCATCATTATTATCAGCACTTTTCAGGGCAAACTACTTGCCAACATCTTGGGCAGGATTGATGCATTTAGGTGACTGAAGTTTACGTACAAATGACAGCGTACAAAGCATACGCCAGTATTACATAGCGTAGCGTTCTGCGTGGCCTTAGTATTATTCGCGCTATTTCTCACTCGTTCTCATTCAGCCTGAAGCCACGCAGGCGGAAGAGTGCGGCCTACTGCGCCGCGAGCTCCGACCTCGGATGCGTCGCGAGCGACAATAGCGACGTGTCATCGCGACTCGAGCATATGCAGCACTGTCGGGGGAGATCGGCATCCGAAACGCGCGTTGCGCACCTGAAACTCCAGCGTGGACGAGACGTTCTTTTCGATCTCCTGGTAGAAGCACTCTTTGGCATTGTCGGCCAGCTCAAAGGTTAACTCGACGCCGCCCGCGAGCAGGAGCGCGCCGAGCAGCGAGACGAGCAACAGCCAGGCCGACCAGCAATCCATCCTCGGTCGTTTTCCGTTTGTTCGTCGACTGGCGCGTCACTGATCCGCGCGCATTTAAGATTCGCCCTCCGGAGACGGGAAAATTCGGGCAAGAGCGCGCGGCCGCTTTTCACTTCTCTTCCCGGCGACGGCAGCCCAACGATCGCCACCGCAAACAAGCTATTTTAACGTGGCCGGAAGTCGGCCGCGCGCGCGCGACGTAGCCGCGTTCGGCGTGCGCGGCGCGCAACTGCGGAAGTGGCTATGTTCACGTCGCACGTTACACGTCATGGGCGCGCGCGAACATCAGCTAAATAAATAAAAACGAATCGTTTATAATAAAAATTTTCTCGAAGACATTCTTGAATGAATTGCGAATCTACGAAACCGAATTTTTAAATGAATTCAAAATTGATCTTTGACAAGGTACTTTATAACATTAATTGTCACGTACAGACGAAATGTTACTCTTTTCGCGATAAACCCTAAACACGACTAACCCTAAACAAAGTGTTACAATCTTTTCACGATAAACCTTAGCTGCACGCCCAGGTAGAACATAAAACTCATAATGACATCATTATACATATATGACATCACTTAAAAGTCATTTTGGAAAAATCATAATCTCATTTGATACATTTTTGACTATATTTGGGTGACTTATTTATGATATCATAGTGACTTTAATATGCCCTCCCAACAGAAGAATATCTACATAGCACGTAATATTACAGCAATATCACAGTAATATTATATTTCAGAACTATAACAATTTTCTCAGCCTTTTTTTAATAAAAATGAATTTCGGTATAAAAATATTTGTGTGTACGTATGTATGTATGTATGTTACATGAACATAGAATAATACGGCCCAAGGCGAGGGGGGGGAGGAAACAACGCGCCGTTGCCCGCGAGCTTACGTCGCCAACTCCCGCGTCTCGCCGCACCGCGTCTAGACTTACGTCACGATGACCGGTTACACATTCGCGATTAAAAAAAAGAAATTAATAAAGCGAAAGAAATCGATGGAATCTACAGTCTCTAAAGGTCAATGACTGGATTATCATTGAAAACAGAAAATAGTCACTAATTTACTGTATTCAGTGATAATCCACTGATTGACTTTTAGAGACTGCGATTCAGTGGTATACTTATAATTGTAAATTATAAACATTACATGATACGCATCTGTTTTACATGCATTATTCTTCTTTTTATATAATTTTATAGTCTTTTTTTAATCTCCTTTGTATTCGCTTCGACAGAGGTGAAGGCAAAGATGAAAAAAGATGAAAAGATAGATACAAATGCACATACAATCTGCATGAATCATTTTGATAAAATTGAAAGATATCTAAAAAAACAATGATAAATAATTATGTCATTACATAAGTTAGTACATATTAAATAAACAACTTAAAAATTTCAAAACATCATAATATAAAATTATTATCAGGCAACGAACTTATATAAAAAACTAGTGTTAAAGTTTCACAAAGTTTAGGGAATAAATATCTCTTGAGATAACTTTATCTGTTCAACAGTGGCAGATGATTAAATAAAAAATAACTACTAATACTTATACAACTTTTTCTCGTAGGAAAATTATGAAAAAAGATTTAAACAAAATTAATAAATTATTGTTGCAAAGGCTCAGCTCTTCAACTTGGCAATAATTAGATGAGACTATCCTCAACTTATAAAGAAGCTCTTTTATCAACAGCTACTTATACCCTTAGAATTATATTTTCAAATATGTATACATGATGATTATTGTAACTAGCATATTGGCAAAGTAATTAAAAGTTATAAATTTCAATGAATTAATATACAAAATATCGAAGTAAAAATTAAAAATTATCGTTGCATTAAATTGGTAGATTTGGTTTGTATAAATATACGCCACATGTATTTGAAAGACCAACTTTGACTGCAGAAACTAAACTTGAACATTTCGGTGACAAATAGCTCTTGGTAAACAAGCTTAAGAATTAAGATATCAAAGATGAGCCTAAAGATCTCTAAATAAAATGTTTTAAATTTAAGAGTACTTAGTTTTTAATAAAATGGAAAACATACTATACGTAATTACACACATTTTTTCTAATATTATGCAAAATAATTGTATAAGTATGGTGATAATTAAAGCAACAAATAATTACACCAAAAATGTAATACCCCTATACAGTACAGGAATTTCCAGTTATATTTAAAAAACATTCCAACATTGCAAAAAATTCTAAAAATATTTATCTAATCAAAAAGTTACTCATGAGAAAATCGCTCCCGTTCTCCCTTCGAAAGAAAAGATCGGGGAATAAACACATAATTGCAAATGAAACCTCTTCTACAACGTTATAAATTTGAATTCAACGGGGAAAGAACTAGGGTTGTAAGGAAAGTGGTTATTATATCTGGGGTGCTACAATAAAGTTAAAATTGGCATAAAGGAAAATGTATGAAATTGATGGTGTAACTTTATATTTTTGGATCTGTTGGAATCGAATATAAAAGTTTAAAGTTCAAAATCTGGAGAAATCTGTAAAAATACAATTTTTTTACAGAAAGGTCTTGTTTCATAACAAATACTTTTTAACGAACAAATGGCAATTATAAACAAAAAGTATATTTTTATTATTCACTTTTATTCATAAAAATAGTTGTAAAATTTCATTGGACATTTAAATGTGGAAATGGATGCCCATAAAAAACTCAGACTATATGTATTAATATAAATATATGGAACTATACATATATGTATATTTCGACTTGTCAATGCCCAGTCTTATAACCTACAAGAAGATGTAACTTCAAGACTTTTTCTACTCTTGATGCAAAAGAGTCTCTTATTCAGCAGCGCATACATATATTTTGCGTATATAAATAAATAATTTAAGGTATTATTAGTTATTCGTCAGATTTTACAATGTTAACATCCATAAGTAATTCAAAATGAATGTCGATATTTCTTGCGTTTTATTTTATTTGGCGTCAGATATCATAATTATTATAATTAAAAGGACACAATTATTATAATTAAAGTGAAATTGCAATTACACAAATGGCAATAAAGACCTTCCGAAATCTTATTATTTCTTGCAGTAGAATTTCATTTGAGAGTCTACCATTAATGTCATCTGGTCACTGAATTTTTCATGGATTATTTGCATTTAAGCGGCGAGTTAACCAATATAAGTCCACAGTCTTTCATAAATTCGTTATTCTTGTTGTTAGACACAAGACAGACAAGAGGTGTCACTGACAGAAAACAGGAATCACTCTACGACATGACAGGAATGAGTAAAGTTGAACAGTTTTCTTTCGTCCATTCGGAAAGCGGTGACACGGAGGAGGACAAGGTCAGTTCACCACTATTTCCCCTTTCTTTAAAATCTATAATTCTATCAATTTTATCAACTTTTCGTTTACATATTAGACATATAATAATCTAACAAGTTATGCAACTTTTGTTGTGCAGAAACTTTTGGAGCCGTTCAAACTTGCTCTTACATGTGGCGAAAAACATCCATACGCAAAATTAATGCCGCTTTTCAACCACTGGCTTAAAATAGCACCCGATAGATACCAACAAATTAAAGAAATAATAGACATAATACACCACGTATACGTAATGTGAGTTATGATTTATTGTAAAGCGTCGACAATTTCTATATGTGGGTATATACACCTTTGTGAATATTGTTAACAGTGCCCTGTAATGCACATTATTTCTTGAAATTTATAAAAAATTTAAACATCTTGAATAAAATGATGAAAGGGTTAATAAATTCGAAGTCACATGTTTAATGATAGTCTCTCCGTATACGTTTATTTTTGGTAAAACCAAGTGCGAGACCAAAATAAAATAATGACAATATTTAAAAAAAATAGAACGCAATATATCTATGTATATTGTCAAAAATTAAATTGTATGCTTTAATATTGCGTGTATTTATCTTTTTTTTTATTATTTTTGTGGTGTGTTTTGACAATAATTTGTATCAAAATTTCATACATTTTTTTTAGATTTATTTTTATCACTTTCTTGAGCTATTTGATTACTGCCATAGCCTCTTATTATACTTCTCGTTCTATTTTCTTCTCGATCTACTTATAATACTTATAACATAAATCAATACAATTTAAGGAAAGTAGTGAAATCAATACACCAATCAGAAATATTAATTTTTATATATTTTTGTATACTTATAAAGTCTTTGTTTCTCGACAGATTCGATGATATTCAAGATAACGGTATTGTTCGAGATGGTTTTCCCGTTGTCCATGCTATTTATGGAGTTAGCAGTACAATAAACTGTGCAAATTATGCACAAATAATTTGTTTTATGAAACTTCTTAAATTGCATCCTGATGTAAGTAGTTACGTCACGTATGTAAAAAAAACCTTAAAAAAATTATATTTATGACTTTTACATGGTGTGCAATAACAACGTAAATCAAAATGTAGGCTAAATATTTTTTTCGTTCAATTTATTCCAACTCAATGCAAAATCCCTCTTTCACACGCGGAATTAATTCAAGCGCACTGCGAGATTGAATTGGATGGTAGACCGGACTAACAATAAGACAGCGATTTTTAATAATTAATAACTCGTTAAATATTGCGAAAATTGCAAAATGGTAGAGAACTTTTTAACTTATTGTTAGTCTAATCCGCACTATCAGTAAACAAGAGGTGAGGCAGGTATTACATAACACCCTGTATATGTATGTGTATTTTTGCATGTTTTTTATAACTGAATAGGCAATGAAAATCATGTTGGAAGAACTATCGCAATTCGATAGAGGTCAAGGACTCGACATGTATTATAAGGATAATTTTATCTGTCCAACGGAGGAAGAATACATGGTTATGATAAAAAAAAGTAAATGTTTAAGTGAATTCTGCTTTTGCAAATTTCTACTACATATGAAAAATATTAAAAGTGTAATTATATGTATACAATTTCAACATTAATTAATTTTATAGAGTCTTGTTGGCTATCTAAAGTGATATTTAAGTTAATGAAACTATTTTCTACTTATGAAAAAGACTTAGTACCGCTAGCAACTGCAATAGGAGTGTTCTTTCAAATACATAATGATTATTGCAACGTTTTTGTCGATAAAGTAAGATATATTAGTAGTAATATATTTTAAATTTAATTAAATATAAATGTGAACTATCTCTATTTATTGTTATCACAGGACTTTAACGATAGAAGTTATTGTGATGATTTGACCGAAGGAAAATTTGGTTTTCCAATTGTACATGCGATTACAACCAATCCTACCGACAGGCAAATACTAAGTATCCTTTATTAACTGTATTTAATATGAAATGTGTACTGATTCATATGGAGAATTAATGTGTATATATATACATAGCGTTATTTCTTATTAGAAACTTAAGCATTGTAGCGAAAAATGTTTCAGGACTTTTTGACTAAGTTTTTAATAAGAAACAATGCTATGTTATTAGTAGGCGATCTTTCTGAGTCACCCTGTATACATATATGTTTGTTTACAAAATTTTTATAATTTATTAAGTTTAATTATCCTTAATAATATTGAAAGATATTGTAAAACTACGCACAACGGATGTTAACATAAAACGTCACTGTGTTAAATTATTAGAGAGTTTTGGTTCGTTTAAGTACACGAGAGGTATACTTGAGGAATTGGAGAAGAAGATGAAAACCGATCTTGAACGTTTAGGTGGTAATCCGATTTTAATGGAGATGATCGACGACTGGAAGATTCAGATGTCCAAGACACGTGTCTAAAACCTGAGCTGACGTCTAAACTAAGTTTATTAAAAGGTTTCTTTAAGGTTGTTTGGATATTTCAAGTTATGAAAACATCAGGCGTAACATTATTACAATTATATTATCTTAGTTTTAATTTAAAGTATATATTTTAATTTAAAGTAAATATTATACTTTAAAATATTTCTAACATATGCTTATGGTATATGTGCATTAAAAAATACATAATGTCTTAAAGTACAATATCTGTGTGAGTTTTTATCTAAATTTATCTCTTTTTTCCAAGACGATTAAACAAATTTGTACAAATATAGATATTATAATTCCCTATATCTTGAACTTCACTCGGTGACGAAAGCCTTCTTTATTTCTTTCTATCGCGCGTTATCTCTTTCTAGTTTCTTATGTCTATTCTCTTTAAAGGCTCCTATACAATGGGAATCCATATTCGTTACGTAACCGTAAATGTAAAAGTTCAATTATTTGAAATAAAATTAATTTACAGGACGGGGAAAATGGGGGGAGAGAGGGGATTGAATGCTAAAATATAGCATCAGAAAAATGCGAATTGCATTTGAAAAATAATCATCGAATCGAACGTGAATCTGCTGACGACAATATTTCCAAGTGTATGATAAACTGCGTTATGTCCGGAAAAGAAATCGGCGCGTAGTACTAATGTGGAAAGAAACGGTATATAGATTCACGATTTTCAGAAAGATTTAAGATTTGCAAGTTGGGCTACCTATAACATCTTGCCTTGTGACCCACATTGGCGTGTTACCATATATTGTTTAGTTTTAGATAGGGGTCTTACTTGAAAGTTACTTGTCCTTACTGATTGTTTCGTTAAAGTTACGTTACGGTTACGGGCTGCCATTGTAAATTATACGGGTCGATTTCTTTCGGTAACAGTTACGTAAGGATTACGGATTCTCATTGTGTAGGAGTCTTAAGTGTTTTACAACTCCGTTCCTATATTTTAAAACTTGTCCTTCATCTTTTCCTTATAACATATGTTAGATTGCTTTCAAACTGAAGTTTCTTTAGATTATTATTTTTCATCCAATGGAAAATGAGTAACGTATCCCAGCCATTGCAGTTTGTATTTTCTCTTCCACTCATATTCTCTTAATAATGTCCGAGGTTCGTAGTTCTTTCAGGGTGCTTTTCTTTGAAAACATTTGAGAGCTGCAATGTCTCAAATTTCAACTCTCACATTGATATTCCAATACTGATATAAATAAGCTTTTAGTATAAGAATGTTTATATTGTGATCATGGAAGTATATGACAATAACTTTTTATGAATCTAATAATACTTGACTTGTAAATAAATATAAATAATACACTTTTGCTTCCTCATAGAGGAAGCTTTGTTTTTGTTACGTCAAAACCTCTTGGAATAAGTTTTGGGAAGGAAAATAGAGATTGACGGGATCCGACGGATAGGGCTTCCAGACGTGGAGGTATGGAATGACGTAACTAGCAATTTTAAATGTCTCGCTAACACGCTCGGAGGCGCGTGGAAGCGAGCCGAACGCACTTTTCAAAGGCTCTAAAAAGGCCAATGTCCCGTAAAAACACTCTGACTCTTTTCAAGAGCGGTGCGATCGCAGGTCCTAATTTTAGGTCAAGGAAATTAATCCCTATTACCCTGGGACGGACCTTGTGCACTCTCAAAGGGGAACGAAGGGGTGAGGTCTTTAAAAGTAAAATGAATATGAAAAAGAAAAGTTTAACATAGCATTATATTTGTCATAATCCAAAATAGAAGTTTCATATATACTTATTTGTATAAAATAATTTAGAATTATTACATCTAAGATAAAAGGAACATAAGTTTTAACTTACTTTAAAAATTATTGGGAAAGATAATTTTAACTAACTAGGTATTACATTTAGAATAATAAAAAGAGATAATTTTGACAAACATTAGAACAGATAATTTTTACTAGACATTACTTTAGGCAAGAATTATATAAAAAAATTTGAAATTTGCACATGGCTTCCTCATAGAGGAAGGTTTAGGAGCGAAATCTAATTTTTTTCGATGTTTCTTGAAAGTGTGCAAATTAGAAATTTGCACATTGCTTCCTCATCATTGAAGCGTGCAAATTGGAAATTTGCACATTTCTTCTTCATCATTAAAGTAGGCAAATTAGAAATTTGCACATTGCTTCCATTGTTATGGCTTCCTCATAGAGGAAGCTTTAAGAGAGAAATTTAACTTTACTACGATGGTTCTTGAAAGTATTCAAATTATTCTTATTTTGCTCTTAAAGCTTCCTCTATGAGGAAGCCATGTGCAAATTTCTAATTTGCACACTTTACTTTACTTTACTTCTTTTTCTAATTAGAAATTTGCACATTGCTTCTATTGTTATATTAAAAAAAAATATTAGTGAAGACAAGGTATCATGGTCATTTTATATATTTATTAAATTAATGTCATTATTTATTTATTTATTTTATTTATTTATTTAAATTTATTTATTTACTTAATTTATTTAAATTAATTTAAATTAATTTATTTATTTATTCATAAATTATATTTTTTATATTTATTTTATTTTGTATTTAGAAATCATCCCACATTATTCATTAGTATGATCAAGAGACAAGCCGGCGAAAGATCTGATCCGACAGCGAGTTAACACGAATCAACTGAATAATCATGTTATTTATTATGGATTTGCCGCGGCATATAAATTTATGTTACACATTGTATACACAAATTTGACAGCACCATGATCACTCACCGTGCATGAGCGCGGACAGTGATTCGCATCCTGAATTTTTTTACGCGTTCGTAAACTTATCCAAAAAAAAGTGTCGCAACCTCAGTGCTCCCGACTGTACACCTAATATGTTACATGAACATAGAATAATACGGCCCAAGGCGAGGGGGGGGGGGGGAGGAAACAGCGCGCCGTTGCCCGCGAGCTTACGTCGCCAACTCCCGCGTCTCGCCGCACCGCATTTAGACTTACATCACGATGACCGGTTACACATTCGCGATTTAAAAAAAGAAATTAATAAAGCGAAAGAAATCGATGGAATCTACAGTCTCTAAAGGTCAATCACTGGATTATCATTGAAAACAGAAAATAGTCACTAATTTACTGTTTTCAGTGATAATCCACTGATTGACTTTTAGAGACTGCGATTCAGTGGTATACTTATAATTGTAAATTATAAACATTACATGATACGCATCTGTTTTACATGCATTAATCTTCTTTTTATATAATTTTATAGTCTTTTTTTAATCTCCTTTGTATTCGTCATGACATTCGTTTCGACAGAGGTGAAGGCAAAGATGAAAAAAGATGAAAAGATAGATACAAATGCACATACAATCTGCATGAATCATTTTGATCAAATTGAAAGATATCTAAAAAAACAATGATAAATAATTATGTCATTACATAAGTTAGTACATATTAAATAAACAACTTAAAAATTTCAAAACATCATAATATAAAATTATTATCAGGCAACGAACTTATATAAAAAACTAGTGTTAAAGTTTCACAAAGTTTAGGGAATAAATATCTCTTGAGATAACTTTATCTGTTCAACAGTGGCAGATGATTAAATAAAAAGTAACTACTAGTAATACTTATACAACTTTTTCTCGTAGGAAAATTATGAAAAAAGATTTAAACAAAATTAATAAATTATTGTTGCAAAGTCTCAGCTCTTCAACTTGGCAATAATTAGATGAGACTATTCTCAACTTATAAAGAAGCTCTTTTATCAACAGCTACTTATACCCTTAGAATTATATTTTCAAATATGTATACATGATGATTATTGTAACTAGCATATTGGCAAAGTAATTAAAAGATATAAATTTCAATGAATTATAATTGTACACACACACACACACACACACACACACACACACACACACACACACACACACACTCACACTCACACTCACTCACTCACATACATTTGTTCCTGTACAT